GCGTAGGACCTGGTCACCTTTCTACATCCGTCATGCTGCTCTTGTCGCCGACGACCTCCTTCAGCTGATCGTACAAGGTCTGGAGGGAGCGTTCGTTGCCACCGCGCGGGGCCTGGCCCCTCTTCTCCTTGCCGCCCTGCTTGAGGAGGTGGCCGATGGCGGCGTCCGCCAGCGCCAAGCAGTCTGGAGTCGACCTGGTAGCGAGGTAGACCTTCACATGGCCTTTGACGAACGCCTTCTTGACCTTGCAGACGTAGATGTGTGGGAGAATGTGGTCGGGAGTCGTCATAGCAGTCGCGTGCGTCGAGAGAAGCTTCATCTGCTGCTCCTCCAGGGCATTGGTGGTCACCGCGTTCATCACCCATGCCGTCCATGCGTGGGCGTGGGGCTCGCCGACCGGCGCCGTTCCTTTCCCAGCGGCGGCAGCGCGGGACTCCTCGGCGAACTGCGCTGTCGCAGACTTCATGGCATGCACCGCTGGAGCACTCTCCGGCATAAGAATGACACGGAAGGTGGCGGCCTGGAGGACGAGGAGGACGAGGAGGAGGAGGAGAAGGAGGAGAAGGAGGAGAAGGAGGAAGAGGAGGGGAGGGCGAGGAGGATGCGGAGGTGGAGGAGCAGGAGGAGGAGGAGGCAGAGGTGGGGGAGGGGGAGGCGGAGGTGGATGCGGAGGAGGAGGAGGGGGAGGAGGAGGAGGAGGAGGAGGAGGAGGAGGAGGAGGAGGAGGAGGAGGAGGAGGAGGAGGAGGAGGAGGAGGGGGGAAGGAGGAGGAGGAGGAAGGAGGAGGAGGAGGAGGAGGAGACGTAAAACCAATGATTTTGGCTTCCTCGCCGAGGGAAGAGTGAGGGGTGGAAGAGGAAACACTAAACCACCTACGTCCAGAGGGCTGGTGGGACTCGAGCAGCACAGCAACAGCACAATGTTGGGAGCGGTGCGTGCGAAAGCAGGCGAGCGGGGCCCGACCAAAAGCAGCAGCGTCTCAACTGCAGAGCTTGGGGCGGTCCCTTCAGCGAGAACGCGCGAGCCAACGTCATCAGCTACAGTGCTGGGGCCTGTTGGCGCGGAAGACGCCCAACCGAAGAGCAATGCGAGAAAACAGACAGTGGCAGCAGGGATTGCCAAGGCGAGAAAAAGCAGCCACGCAGGAAACATCTTCAGCCACATGGCAGGGGCTTAGTTCGTGCGGGAAGGCATGCATTTGCAGCAGGGCCAGTCGGTGCGAGAAGACAGGCAGTGGCAGCAGCGGTTGCCGGTGCCAAATGGCCAGCAGGAGCCACGTCTTCGGCTACATGGCGGCGGGGGTCAGTTGGCGCGAGGAGGCAGGCAGTGGCAGCAGGGTCAGTCCCAGCGAGAAAGCGGCAGTGGCAACAGCGGTGGCCCGTGCCCACGGGCCAGCAGGAGCAACATCTCCAGCTACACTGCAGCGGAGACCAGCTCGCGCGAGAAGGCACGCATTGGCAGCAGGGCCCGTCGGCGCGAGAAGGCTGGCAGTGGCTGCTGGGGCGGTCGGTGCGAAAAGGCAGGCGTTGGCAGCAGCATTTGTCGGTGCCAAATGGCGAGGCAAGAACTCTTCATCGGCTACAGTCGACTGGGGTGAACTTGTTTGAGAGAGCAGTGGCAGCAGGGTATGGCAATGCGAGAAGGCAGGCAGTGGCAACAGTAACTGTCGGGTCGATAAGGTAGGCAGTAGCAGCTGTGGTTGTCGGTGCCCGCCGGCGCAGCAAGAACACTTTATCAGTTACAAGGCTGCCAGGATCAGCTCGTGCGAGAAGGGCAGGCAGCGGCAGCAAATTTGGCACTGCGTGCACAAGCAAGTGCACGTGCGGAAGGCAGCAGGTGGCGGCGTGCGCCAGGGCGCTCAGCAGGCCGCCGCAGAGGGCTAAGTTGCAGAAGGACGTGGCTCGACGGATGGGCCAACCACATGGGGGTGCCCGTCCCCCCTCGTCGCCACCGCGAGGTCCTCGCAGCCATGGGGGGGAAATTGCACGAGGAGAGATTGGTGGAGCGCCCGTCGCCAGCTACACGTGTTCAGCACAGCGAAAAACCTTGTCGCCCAGTGGCGGCCTTGGGTAAGGGACGTTTTCTTCGCCGCCACTCGTTGTGATTAGACGATTCGGAGGTCGGACCAGCATCATCCAGCATTATCCCCCTCCTCATCCCTCCCTCCCGCCCCCCTCTCCCCCTTCCCCCCCTTCCCCGCCATTGTTCCTCATCGGGGACGAAAATACAGCATCCCCCTCTTCCCTCCCCCTCCCCATCCCTCCCCATCCCTCCCCCCCCCGTCCCAACAGAATCCCCTTCCCCATCCCTCCCCCCCGCACCCCTTTCACCCCGCCTCCCCGCCACTGCTCCTCACCTTTAGAAGACAGCATTCCGAGAGCCTCTCGGAACTCCCCGCTGATTTTTTCGATCCGCGTTGGGCCCCCCTGGCGGCCTGGCGACGCCCCTGGCGCCGCCACTGGCGCCCTCCGCGCGCCAGGGGGGGCGTTCAAACGCCAATCCACGATATCCGCGCGGAGTTCCGACATTTGTGTTTCATATTGCTTGTTGGTTGTTAGTGTGCGTCAGGCGAGAAGCAGCAGGGGTGGAGAATCGGAGGAGAGTACCGAGGTGCCGTCACACTCAACCGACCGAGGCAACAGCTGCTGCCGAAGCTCCTCATGGAGCCTTGGGTGCGGGGGGCAGCATCGGAGGTCTTGGTGGCCCCGTTTGCGTTCCTCCCTCTCGCCTTCCTCCGTCCTCCCTCCCTGGCCTCGTTGCCCTTGCCTCTGGGTACCCCCCCCTGATTTTTTTAGTCGAACGCTTTCCCTGGCGGCAGAGCTCCAGGTATTGGCAAGGCAAAGACGAGCATCGACGCCAGGGCCTTCAGTCTGAGTCTGGGAGGAGGCGGAGATGGAAGAGGAGGGAAATTGTGTGGGAGGGGGGATCGGGACGGAGGCTGGACGGGGAGGTAGAGCGGTGTGCAGGGGGAGGGAAGAAACGGGGAGGGGATGGGTGATAGAGGATGCAGGGGGGACGATGGACGACGACGACGATTACGATGGCGATGGAGATTTTGATTATGATTCATGGTGGTGATGATGGTGATGGTTATGTTGATGATGATGATGATGATGATGATGATGATGATGATGATGATGATGATGATGATGATGATGATGATGATGATGATGATGATGATGATGGTGGTACTTGTGATGCGATGATGACGACGATTTCAATTATTGATGGTGCTGTTGATGACGATGATGATGGTGATGGTCACGATGATGTTGCTGGTGATGATGGTGCTGATGAGGATAATGATCATGGTAATGAGCGTGATGGTAGCAATGGTGGGTTTGATGGTGAGGCGTCCGAATATGATGGTGATTACACCTGAGAAAACCCGATCAGTGGATGATTTGAAAATTATACCATGGATCTTGATATCGATTGTGCGATCGATAATGAGATCGATAGTGGAATCGATAGTGAGGACGATTGTAAGGTCGATCCTGAGACCGAGGGTGAACTCGATTCAATGAGATCGATAGTGAGATCGATCGCGAGATCGCTCATGCGATCTCTAGTGAGGTCGCTTTTGAGATCGATGGTGAAATCGATTGTGAGATCGATTGTGAGATCGATAGAGAAGTGGGTAATGAGATCGATCGTGAGACCGATCGATAAGAAGATCGACCAGGTGGCCAGGAACCCGGGAACCCGGGAACCTCGCCGCCCTCCGAAATCGGCCCACGGAACCCGGAACAGGGAACCCGGGAACCCAGAACCGGGAATCCGGGAACCCAGCCAGCACCAAAATCGGCGGGAAATGTTCGCCAAATCCTTCAACATCCGCGAGGACCCCTTCAGTGCAAGCACTGATTGGGGAATGGTCACGATGCTCATGATGGTCATGATGCTAATGATGGTGGTGATGGTGATGGTGATGGTGCTGGTTATGTTGGTGGCAATGATTATGAGGATGATGATGATGCTGATGCTGATGCTGATGCTGATGATGATGATGCTGATGATGATGATGATGGTGATGATGGTGATGATGGTGATAATGGTGATGATGATGATGCTGATGATGCTGATGATGATGATGATGATGATGATGATGATGATGATGATGATGATGATGATGATGATGATGATGATGATGATGATGATGATGATGATCAGGGGAAGGGGGAGGACTATCGGGGGAGAAGAGGGGATAGATGATGCATGACGCAGGGTGGAGGAGGACGTAGGGAGGCAGACGGATATCGATGCAGGACGGAAGTGGGGCGTGGAAAAAGACGTTGGAGGGAGGAGGAGGATCGATGGTGGCTGGTCACTGCGTAGACGGGAAGACGACGAGGTGCAGGATAAGGAGGGGGTCCTGGGTATGTTCAGCCCAGAAAGGCCCCGGCCGGCAGACCCCCCCTCTGGGAGTGGCCGTTGTCTTTGGCAGCCGAGCCCCCCTTGGGGGAACCGCCCTGGTTGCGGGGCGGTGGAGGTGTTTGCCGACTCCCGATCGCTGTGCGCCCTCCGCGGGAGAGACCCGCGCGCGCCGCTGGACGGGGGAGGAACTGGGAGCTCGGAACTCGGCGGTCCGCGAAACGATGCCAGAGGGCATCGTTGCCGGGGGTGTGCGCTGCTACGCCCAAGACGCCGTGCAGACCCGCATGGAGAGGAGGCGAGGGGGGGAGGAGGAGGAGGAGGAGGCGGAGGAGGAGGAGGAGGAGGAGGAGGAGGAGGAGGAGGAGGAGGAGGAGGAGGAGGGGGAGGGACGGCAAGCGTGTGTTCCGCCGTGGCCCCCGGGGGCCGCCTGCCGAGGGCGACGCTGGCCACGTCGACAGGATGCTCGCCTCGCTGCAGTCCGACGTGGCTCGGCTGCAGGCGGCGGCCGACGACCGGCTGGAGGACTCGGGCCTTCTCCTGGGGGCGTGGAAGGACGAGCGGATTCTCCACCACCGCTATACCATGGGTAGGAGAGGGAGGAGGAGGAGGAGGAGGAGGAGGAGGAGGACGAGGAAGAGGAGGAGGAGGAGCTCCCCGTCCTCCCTTCTGCCTCGCGTTGCCTATGGCAGTGGTGGTGGGAGCGCGGCCCACCATGGAAGAGGGGGTCAGAGGGAGGACCCAGGGGGGGTGTTCACCTCATGGCCGGGGCCAAGAAGTCTCCCAGATGTCATGGCCCCCGCTCCCCTCCTCCAGAGCAGTCTTGACCTCCCCTCATTCGCGCACGTGCCTCGGGCAGCGCACATGCCTTGCACCCCCTCTTCGGCCCCATTGCCACGCCCGTGGAAGACTTGTGAGCACTACGCCGTGCTGGCGTCTCCCGAGGCGTCGTCGGTCCTCGATCCAGGTATGGCACGGCGTATTTCACTGGGCCCCCAGCGCCAAACAGCCGTGCACAGTGCCGCGCTGGAGCGGGGCCGAAGGGAGGGAGTCCAGAACATGGTGCGATGCACGAGCGTCGTCCTCCCCTTGGCCAGTCTAGTGTTCCTGCCCCCTCTCCTCGCCCCCCTCTTCCCCGTCGTTCCCGTCGTATTCATCCTCAGGCAGACGCAGAGACAGGCAGAGAGAGGCGTGAATACATATAGATGTGCATGTATGTATAGATGCATGCATGTATGTATGTATGTATGTAGGTAGGCATGTGTGTTTATATATATATATATATATATATATATGAGTTGGGCCCCTGGGCGGTGCCTGTCATCTCCATGGGGTGTGCAGGGCGCCCCTGGGAGCGTCCGAAGCGTCCCGGAGGGCCCCTGGGACCGCCAGGAACAGTTCGAGACCGCCCAAGACGGCCCGCGAGCGCTCCAAGACGCGCATAGATAGCCTCAGGAATGGCCTGGAAGGCCCGAAGACGTTCCAAGAGAGCTCCATGAGGCCCCGAAGGCATCCCAAGAGGCCTCCCAAGAGAGCCCCGACAAGCCAAAATCGTTGATTTGTATTGTGTTTTTCTAGGTTTTTGGCTTTCTCGCTTTTTCGGGGTTCCGACGCTCCAAGACCGTCCAAAAGTCTCCCAAAACCGCTCCAAGACGGCCGAAGAAGCCCCCAAGACCGCCCCAAGACGGCCCAAGAGACCCCCCAAATCGTCCCAAGACGGCCCAGGAGAGCCCCAAGATGGCCCAGGAGCCGCCCAAGACGGTTCCAGGAGAGCCCCGACAGGGCTTCAAGACTGCCTAAACGAGCCCAGCGGTCCCCAAGAGGGCCCCGCCAGGCCCCAAGAGGCCCCGAAGAGGCCCCCAAGAGCCTCCCCGGAGGCCCCCAGAGGCCCCCAAGAGGCCCAACAATTGCCCTGAGCGCGCCCCAAGACGCCTCCAGGAGAGCCCAACAGGCCTCCGAGAGGCCCCCAAGAGGCCCACTGGAGGCCCTCAGGAGGTCGTCCCCATCATGTTCCCGGAAGGCGGTCCGGGAACATGATTCCGCTCCTTGGAGGAGTTTTCTGCGCTTTCCGAGGCGCCTTCCGAGGCGCCTTGGACGACGTACGTATGTTTCTATCGATTGTCCTTCTCCTGTGTACACAATCCTACATGTCTTGTGTATGTTTCTATATATATATATATATATAAATATGTATATAAAAAGAGGCCCACTGGAGGCCCTCAGGAGGTCGTCCCCATCATGTTCCCAGAAGGCGGTCCAGGAACATGATTCCGCGCCTTGGAGGAGTATTCTGTGCTTTCCGAGGCGCCTTCCGAGGCGCTTTGGACGACGTACGTATGTTTCTATAGATTGTCCTTCTCTTGTGTACACAATCCTACATGTCTTACGTATGGGCCTCTCTCTCTCTATATATATACACATACGCACACACATTTATACACACATATGTATATATACACATATGATATGTATATATACACATATGTATATATATATATATACATACATATATACCCCTCCCCCAAGCCCTCCCGAGTCGTGCCACTTCCTTCCACGCATTTCAAATACTTCCCCATATATAGAGGCCCCCAAGATGCCCAACAATGGCCCTGAGCGCGCCCCAAGACGCCTCCAGGAGAGCCCAACAGGCCTCCGAGAGGCCCCCAAGAGGCCCACTGGAGGCCCTCAGAAGGTCGTCCCCATCATGTTCCCGGAAGGCGGTCCAGGAACATGATTCCGCGCCTTGGAGGAGTATTCTGCGCTTTCCGAGGCGCCTTCCGAGGCGCCTTGGACAACGTACCTACGTTTATATAGATTGTCCTTCTCCTGTGTACACAGTCCTACATGTCTTACGTATGGGTCTATACATATATATATATATATATATATATATATATAATGTATATATACAGGCCTCCAAGAGGCCCCCAAGAGGCCCACTGGAGGCCCTCAGAAGGTCGTCCCCGTCATGTTCCCTGAAGGCGGTCCGGGAACATGATTCCAAGCCTTGGAGGAGTATTCTGCGCTTTCCGAGGCGCTTTCCGAGGCGCCTTCGACGACGTACTACGTTTCTATAGATTGTCCTTCTCTTGTGTGCACAATCCTACATGTCTTACGTATGGGCTTTTCTCTCTCTCTCTCTCTCTCTCTCTCTATATATATATGCATACATACATATATATATATATATATATACATATGCGCACACACATATATATATATATATACACATATATAATACACCCCTCCCCCAAGCCCTCCCGAGTCGTGCCACTTCCTTCCACGTATTTCAAATTCTTCCCCATATATAGAGGCCCCCAAGATGCCCAACAATGGCCCTGAGCGCGCCCCAAGACGCCTCCAGGAGAGCCCCACAGGCCTCCGAGAGGCCCCCAAGAGGGCCACGGGAGGCCCTCATAAGGTTGTCCCCATCATGTTCCTGGAAGGCGGTCCGGGAACATGATTCCGCGTCTTGGAGGAGTATTCTGCGCTTTCCGAGGCGCCTTCCGAGGCGTCTTCGACGACGTACCTGTGTTTATATAGATGGTCCTTTTCCTGTGTACACAGTCCTACATGGCTTACGTATGGGTCTATATATAATGTATATATACATATACATACACACATATATATGTATATTACATATATATATATACATATGTATATATACGTATAAATATTTATATACATATGTGTATATGCATATATATATATACATATATATATATATATATGTACATATACATTTATATATATATATATATATATATATATACATATATGTATACACATACCCCTCCCCCAAGCCCTCCCGAGTTGTGCCACTTCCTTCCACGTATTTCAATTTCTTCCCCATATATAGAGGCCCCCAAGATGCCCAACAATGGCCCTGAGCGCGCCCCAAGACGCCTCCAGGAGAGCCCCACAGGCCTCCGAGAGGCCCCCAAGAGGCCCCCTGGAGGCCCTCAGAAGGTTGTCCCAATCATGTTCCCGGAAAACGGTCCGGGAACATGATTCCGCGCCTTGGAGGAGTATTCTGCGCTTTCCGAGGCGCCTTCCGAGGCGTCTTCGACGACGTACCTATGTTTACACAGATTGTCCTTCTCCTGTGTACACTCTCCTATATGTCTTACGCCTGGGCCCCTGGGCGGTGCCTGTCATCTCCATGGGGTGTGCAGGGCGCCCCCGGGAGCGTCCGAAGCGTCCCGGAGGGCCCCTGGACTGGAGGCCCTCAGGAGGTCGTCCCCATCATGTTCCCGGAAGGCGGTCCGGGAACATGATTCCGCGCCTTGGAGGAGTATTCTGCGCCTTCCGAGGCGCCTTGGACGACGTACGATTCATATTCTTGAACGCTTTCGGGGAACATGATTTCTCACCGTTTCGGAACGCTTTCCTACTGCTGCGGTGCTCTGGGGGGAGGGGACGGGGGTCCGGGAACATGATCGGGAGGTTAGGGAACGAGGGTTTGGAGAGGAGCAGTAGGACAGACGGACGGGGCCAGGGGGCGGGGGAGGGGTGGTGCCACCGGTTGGCATGGCCGCCCCGGGCGTCCTGTGGGGTCCACGAGCCCGCCCAAGACGGCCCATGAGGCCCCAAAGACAGCCCAAGAGACCCACAAGACAGCCTCAGCAAGGCCCAAGAGGGCCCCCAAGACGCTCAAGAGCGCCCCAACAGGGCCCGAGATGGTTTGAAGATGGCCGAAGAGGGCCCCAAGAGGGTCTTCAAGGGGTAAACACCGGCCTATTTCCATTCGTAAAGCATACATTTTCAGCATACTCGCTTGCTTGGTCCTCACAGTGCCCCAGACGCCCCCGAGCCCCAAGACAGCCCAAGAGAGACCCAAGAGGGCCCACGACGGCCCAAACGGGTCGTCCCGTGAGGCTCACGGAACCCCCCAAAGACGGCCCAAGAGGCCCGAAAGCCGGCCCAGGAGGCCCCCAAGACGGCCTCAGGAAGGCCCAAGAGGGCCTCGTTCGAAATCATGTTCCCGGAAACCTCTTCGGGAACATGATTTCCGGGTTTCTAGGACGCCCAAGAGGGCCCCAGGATGGCCCCAAAAGGGCCCTAAATGGACGTTCGAAAAGGCCCGGATAGCCACAGTTCGTTGATTTGTGTGAGATGTTGTTGGATTTCTTCCGCGCCGAGGAGACGGAGAGGGCGAAGGAGGAGGAGGAGGAGGAGGAGGAGGAGGAGGAGGGGGAGGAGGAAGAGGAAGAGGAGAAGGACGAGGCGGGGAGGAGGAGTGGAGGGGAGGAGGGGGGGAGAGAGGAGGAAGAGGCTCGAGGGCGATCGACGATCGGAGACGACGACCGGCGACGGTGATTCACGACGGCGACGACGACGACGACGACGACGACCACGACGACGACCGATGACGATCGACGACGATGACAACAGTCGACGCCGCCGATCGATGATCGACGGCGACGACGACGACGGCCACGCCGACGGCGGCGACGCTGTCCGACAGCCTCAGCGAGGCCCAAGGGGGCCCCAAGACGTCCAAGAGCGCCTCAAGAGGGCCC